TAACAAATTAATGCTGTCTATTAATATTATTAAAATCTAAGTCCAGAATTTTTGTTTTATACGTATTTTTTCAAAGTGCGTTAAGTGTCTCCATGGTAAAAAATGTTGATGTACACTCTTAACGCACTTTGAAAAAAAATTTAGCGCACTTTGAAAAATTTTTTCAAAGTGCGTTGATTTTGTCCCAAATTTAACGCACTTTGAAAATTTTTTTCAAAGTGCGTAATTTTTTCAAAGTGCGTTGCCACACTGCACTTCGTTATCGTATTTACATGAGAATCTAGTGATACTGCATGAAGCTTTGATTTTCTTTCACGGTTACTTTCGTCTTCTGTTTTTAATTCATGTTATATTTACATGTTTATAGCTGTTATCCCCTTGAGTGATCTATTTTGCTAGTTGGATGAAATTCTTCAAAATTAAGTAACAGTTTTAAATACACTATACATTCTAGTCGACGGGATTGAATTTGATTTCTATATCTAAACTGGATTCCAAAACTTTATAAACCTTACAAAAAAGATATCCACTGAAATGTTATACCAAGCCACTACCTTTACTTCTCACAAAAATATAAACTAATCAAATGTTACTTTTCAAATATCCATAGAACTTTTGCACAACTTTTTTCATTAACGATTGCAAAACGTTTTTTTTTTTGGCACTTGTAAAGATAAACTGGTTTTGTTTTGATTGGGGGGGGGGGTTATGATCTGTTTCATAGCTGAGGGAGGGTATATAATGCCAATAGAATTTACAATGCTTATAAGTTTGCCACCGAATTTCATCATTTAAACAGCAAGAACAGCAAGAAAATTTCACAATGAAATCAAAATGTTGTTGAAACTGTTACTGTGTTCTACCTCGCTGGAGGGCATGATTTCATCAATCAGAATGCAATAGTGTTTTTTTCAGAAATCGGATAAAACTTATTTCCATTAAAGTATATTACAAATATACTCGTCGTCGTACTCAATAGGTTTCAGTGTTATTTTTCTTACTTTATCACAAGTCGTCTTTTTCTGTGTGACAATTTCTTTTTTCAGTTTAATTTTCCCCATCCCTATACTATATTTTGTTGTGTTCAGTTGTATCCAGAATTCTTAATTATAAATATTAAACTCTACAGTGCCTAGATACTAGTACTGACCATCTTGTTCTTCCTCTTCTTTCAACTATAGTCCACTAGGAAGTATAATTCAAAATGATTAGGAAGTATAATTCAAAATGATTATTAAAAGGGTCTAAATTCAGGCAGCAAATATCTTTGAAAAGGCGACAGAACTTCATTTTTCTGATAAATTCCGTGGATGCATTTGCTAGAGGATGCACTAAATATGAGACCGTTTTCGAAAGAGGCAATATGCGAAATATCTATCCTTCCTTTTTCAGTAGACTGGAAGTGATAAAAGATTAAGAAAATACGATTAAGAAAATTTTTAAATACGTTTAACATTCCAGTTTAAGGAAGTGAGTTTGATTTACAGTATCTAGAGTGAATTCCGAAACTTTATATAAAATCCGTACAAAGATGAGATATGGAGATAATGAACGGTGTTCAAGCTCAAAAGTCCATTAAAACAATACAAATCGGGAGCAGAGCAAACACGGACCTCCAAAAACATCAGATGTGGGATCAGGTGCCATGAAGGAGTGAGTATCCCCTGCCGACCGGTCACACCCGCCGTGTGCTCCTTGTCATGATCGGTAAATAACGGAAAAATTCGTCGACAATTCAGTGTAAATAATGGCCTATCAATTAGTACGAAAAAAAGTCAATCAGCATATGACTTAAAGATAGATTGTATTTGCTGACAAGGTCATTGTATCGACCATAGAACTTACGAAATGATGACTTTAAACGAGACTGTTGATATTCTTGTTTCATCAACTTGTTTGTCAATTTCTTACCTCGTTTTAGAAATTGTTCATACGTAGAGCATGCTCTTGCGTATCAAATCAACTGAGAGATATACATCCCATATGCAGGTGTTAAAGGTATATTGCTGCATAAGTAAGGGAAATTGACGATTGAAAAGTTAAAGTCATCACGTTTATCATAAAGCTTTGTTGTTAGATTACCATTAACGTCTTTTTCTAGTAAAATTTCCAAATATGAAACGGATGTGTCAGACTCTGTGGTATCTTTTATTTCAAGCTCAGTGGGATATATCGTGTCGACATATGAATGGAAATCAATATTGTTAACTGATAATACATCGTCGATATATCTAATGTCGAGATAAAGGCCACAGCAAGAGGTTTCTTTTTCTCATGTATAAGATTTTGAATAAATTCTGCTTCATATGAAAACAATAATAGGCCTGCTAACAACGAGATGCAATAGGTACCCATAGGAATTCCAAGAAATTTTTGGAAGAAACCACATAGATACTGTCAATCAGAAACCCAAGCATATTTTTAATATCAACTTCACAGTTATATAATATAAAGATATATTGCAGGGTCCAGTAAATATTCTACCAAGCCCCTATCCTTACTTTTCCCCAAAATATTAACTGCTGTGAAGGAGAAACTTTTATGTTTTGTTTTAATACATATTCAAGAAGTGGTGTAAATCAAATGTGGATTCTAAGAAATTTTGGAAATATAAAATCTCAAAACTTTTTCAACATAATTAGCATCAAAACAAACAACTTTTGCACACTTTATACAACCATTCCTCAAGATAAATTAAAGGGCAGCTTTTCGACATTGTAGACAACTACTTCCTCAGTAGAAATGTTCATATCTTATGATTGATCATCTACAAAACTGTAATGTTAAAAATCATTCTGACTCTACATAGAAGTACTCTGAATTCGATGTATGTAGTCTCTGGAGACCAGATCTGCCAACAATCTTTTAGATTTTCCTTTAGTAGCCGACCTGTTTTTAAATTCCTATGAATCAGAATTTTTTAAAATGAAATATATGGAGATAACGAACAGTATTCAAGCTCAAAAGTCCATTATACAATACGAAATAGGAGCAGAGCAAACACGGACCTCCAAACATCAGAGGTGGGATCAGGTGCCATGGAGGAGTGAGCATCCCCTGCCGACTTCTTTATGAGACTAAAACTTTTACTATGGCCTTCAACTCCACATTTAGATATATCGGCGACATTTCATCAATTAACAATGGTTACTTTCAATGATATGGGCCAACTTATAACTAAACTGTATGACAAACGGGATGACCAACTTTTCCATCGTCTACTTCCCTTACCTATTAGCAATATTATAACATCACCTGCATATGATGTTTAGATCTCCCAGCCGATTCGATACACAAAAGCATGCTCCGAGTACAATCAATTTTTAAAACCAAAGCAAGCTACTGATAAATAAGTTGATGTTACAAGGATTTCAACAACCCTTTTTAAAGTCAGCTTTTTGCAAATTTTAGGGTCGTTATAATAACCTGATTTGTAAATACAACCTATCATTGGGTGGTATTTTGTCTGACAAGTTTGATACCAATTGTTAGGTAATTGCTTTTATACTAAAGTTTACTACGGAGTATTCCGTCTACCTGATTTATACATAGGGCTCACTACGGGTGTGATTGGTCGACAGGGGATGCTTACTCCTTTTCGACACCTGATCCCACCTCTGTTTTTTCAGGGGTCCCTGTTTTTGCGCTGTTCACATTTGTTTAGAGGATTTTAGAGATTGATCATTGTTCCTTCTTTTCACCTTTTACATTGAACAATAGGATTCAGGGTTATTTTCCCCACTATAATATATGTTGAATCTAACTACAAGTGTACATGTATAAGTTAAAGTGTTTAGTTTCTATCTGCACTTTTTATCGAATAAGTCAGTGTGACAATAGATTCCATTTTTATTTTCCTCCCTACTGTTCATTTCGTCGTGTACATAGTGACAATAGTTTTAAGTGTCATTTTTTCTCTATTAGCACCTTTTGTCGTGAGGTAAAAACAGGGACCTATATACTAGTATATAGGTCCCTGGTAAAAATAGGTTTCAATTTCAATTTATTTTCCTCTTCCTATACATGTGCGTGTATTCAGTGTGACAATAAATTTCAGTTGTTTTTTTTTTTTTTTTTTTTTTTTTTTGTGCATTATTTTCCACCCTATACTACTTGTTGTCGTATTCAGCGTGACAAAAGGTCTCAGGTTTTATTGCTACGTTATCGTATTCAGTCTGTGATAATTAGTTCCAGTGTTTATGTTCTATCTGAATTTTGTCATATTATATACGCGATAATGATTTCAATGTAAATTTGTTAATTTTCTTCCTATGTGCTTCATATTGTCACTTTTAGTGTGATAATGGGTTTTAAGTGAGGTTTTTTTAGGAGCTATTTTCCTTCATACATTACATTGCGTGTTGTTTGGTGGGCAAAACAGGTTTCAGTGTTATTTTGTTATTTCAATCTTATACTTCATATCGTCGTGTTGTACAATTTTCCTCCCTATATTTTATGTTGTCGTGTTCAGTGTGACAATAAATTTCAGAGTTATTTTGTTATTTTCCTTCTTTCACTAATGTCGTTGTGTTTAACGTGACAATACTTTATTTTCCTCCCTTCACTATACTACGGAAGCCGGTAGGTGCCAGGTAGAAAAATATTTTATCTCAAGGCCGCCAGATAACTTTCTGGCGGCCGCCAAATAATTATCTGGCGGCCGCCAGATAAAAAGATCTGGCGGCCGCCAGAAAGTTATCTGGCGGCCGCCACATAATTTCTGGCGGCCGCCAGATCTTTTTATCTGGCGACCGCCAGAAAATTATTTGGCGGCCGCCAGATAAGTTTCTGGCGGCCGCCAGTTATTTATGTGGCGGCCGCCAGATAAAATATTTTTTCTACCTGGCACCAACCGGCTTCCGTACTATACGTCGTCATGTTCAGTATGATAATAATTTACAGCTTCTTTTTTCTATTCATAACATTCACAAAAGATTGTTTAGAATTCATGAAAATTCAAATCCAAAGGCGTCTTAAACCAAAATTTAATAAAAAAAAAAAAAAAAAAAAATGGACAACACGTGGTTGATTTTGATTTGGCAGCTTTATTAAACGACGAGTATTGATTAATTCGATCCTCAATCTAGTATTACTGAACACTTGTAAAGAACACGCAGCAATCGTCAGGGGGCGGATCATGGTGTTGTGGCGGGATACATCGAGGGGTGTGCTTGATTCTCTTCCATTTCGTCTATTTCCGGTAAATGCTTACTTTTCTTTGATTGGTGACTTCCGGTGGCGCCATAATCTGCTTGGTCTTTGAGCGATTGTAACAAGTCACAGCTCTGAAGGTCACGCAGCTGCTTATACATTATCACAAGGACTCCTAATAAGATTAAGTATATGAAAGCTTCTACCATAAACGCAATACCTGGGAATATATGAGCTGTAGCACTATACAGATTGACAAATATCAATGTACCTAAGAATTTGGAAGATGTTTCGCCACACGAGAGCAGAGAAAACATTTTTCCTGCTTCGTCCACATGCACTGCCTTACTGACCAATGAGCGCAGAGCGGAAGTGATCATTCCCGCCATCGCTCCTATAGCAACGGAAACAAATACCATCCAAGATTCATCACAGAATCCAGCCCATATCAATCTGACGAATTTACAACCGATTCCTAATATCATTATGGAAACATCAGAAAGCATGATCTTATTGGAGAATAAAGGCAGAAAAATGAATAAGCACAGTCCCATCACGGCATAGTCTAATGACAGGAGGTAGCCATACCAGGACTTGGACCAGTTCAGAGGAGATCGGGTCACGAACAATAGATTGATGTCCATCTCTCCGACCTTACAGGTCTGGTTCACTAAAGAAACCATAAACAATACCAGAATTATGGTCCTTTTGTTTCCAGAACGAGATTTGAACATGACGGCTAGTGTTTCTTTAATGTTTGACGGTCTGAACACTTCACATAATTCACAAGATGAAGTCTTGTTATCCTCAGTCTCCTTCCGTTCCACAGTTTCGTCTACAAGGATAATGGTGAATAGAATGGACGCTCCATGGAGAATCACAACCGACACAAAAGCGGCGTTGAGGTCAAGGACGTCCTGAAATATTCCTGAGAATAATGACCCCATAAATAATCCAAAGAAGTTCATGGCCAAGAGCTTTCCAAGATTCCGGGTGCGATCCCCCGCGTCTGACAAATCAAACACAAAGCTATTGACAGCCATTGTTATAACTGAGCTTTTTCCAAAAAATCCCTGAACAGCGGAACCCCCTAAAATTAGCGCTATCCTGTGTTCAGGCACCATGTTACTGGCAACATAAAGCATTACAGCGAATACGCTCCCTAGACTTGGGAGTAGGATGGGGATCTTTCTGCCATACCGATCGCTGTATGACCCGCAGAATAACGATAGCGCAATGGCAGGAATATTTAGCAATAGTCGGTAATAGATTAGATAATTTCCAGACTTACTTTGGACGTAATCTTCCAGCACGGGGTATTTATCTAAATTCATGCAAGTGGTTTCGTTCTTAGCCTGTTCATCTTTAAACATTTCGTAACACACGGCACGAACCAAATATGGTCGAGTTGTGGCATCCAACATGGATTCGCCTGTCTTGTAAAGAAAGAACACGATGTCCACAATGACGAAACTGAATCCACAAGCAAACATTGTCATCTTCATGAGGAAAGTCAAATCATCTCACCTATGTTGTACCTGAGCTGGAATTTGTCTACAAGATTAAAAATATTAGAAAGTATATCATAATGTCTGTTAAATCTGGTCCGTTAGGGGCACTATATGAGCCTTGACCTCTTAAACTTTTTTTTTTAAATTTCTCTTTAAATTATACACCAAACCCTGTGCAATGTAAAGAAAAGACCAAAAATCAAAAGTTTGGAGTCATCAGATTTAAAAATTCTCTAGGTTTTATCCTTATTTCTTAAGGCAAATATTTTCTAAAATTGCTATCTATATTTTTTTCAGTAAATTTTGAAAATGTTTTAAAAACAAGGAAAACAGGCTGAAGAAGGTACTTAAAATCCTTACAACTAGTCTAAATGAAGACTGTTTGATTCCTCCGCTTTTATCATTTTTTCCCATATTTATTTATATTAATATAGCCATAAATTACAGACAGAATATATTACTGTATTAGTATTGTGTAGCTTCTCTACAAAATACAGAAACTTTTACAAATTTCGTTGTTCTGATACAATGGAGAACTTAACAGTAGTATAAAGATTTGATGACGCTAAGTCTTCAGAGAAAGTCTTTTTTCACAAGTATTTCAAAAACAGCTGATGTCTAAATATAATTGAACCAGATTCATCTTCTAATTTTCTATAATAATCTTGAAACCTAACTGGAATATCATCGCAGCTCTCTTTCCCAGATTAATTCAATATCAGTCCTATAGCCATAAAAGGTGAATAAAGAAGTAATTGACTTAGAGAATAAAAAAAATTCTAAGAGGGGCGAGGGTCTAAATTATCTGTTATAAAACAAAAATGTGACCTCAGAAACACAGTTTCTATGAAGTCAAAAGTTGAAATTACTCATCTTACCTTTTAAATGGAAATGGTCCTTGGAATATTCTTCATCAGACACAGTCTCCTTACAAAACCCCCTCAGTATAGTTACGAGATAGTTCTAAGGAAATATCAAATTCTGAAGCGCCTCTCTGTTGTTGGGAGGTTATATCTTGGACTTGTGTAGTCTACGAGTACAGTATTGATGAAATAAAATCACTGGAACTTCCGTTTCATTTCAGTGCATAAGGTCCCCAGAACAGAGATCTTTATTGCTGTGTGACTTTGTTGATGGAGTCTGAAAGAGACCATTTTAAGCACGTTACAGTAGCCAATATGGTTATAAAGCCGTTGGTTTGATGCATTCTCCCATATCAAGTGACATCCCAGTCTTGTAGAGTAATCTTTCTCCCCGGAAAACTAGTTCTAGGAAAGAATTTCCTCTGGAAAATGGGCTCTAGGGTAGGATTTAAACAAAAGAGAAAAATGACTCTAGTGTAGTATTTTCCCCCAGGAATTCCCAAACTGATGAAATTTTCCGGGGGGGGGGGGTACTCTGTTAAATAGATATAGAGTGCGATTTTTCCCAGAGCCAATTTTCCCCCATTAAAATATTATTCATTTATCCTATAAAACTTTTTTGGCCTAAAAAGAGAAAAAAATACTTAATTGCTGCTTATTTAATGCAGTTACCTCTAAGAAATCAATTAGCTTTATATATCGGAAGGAGTTTTCGTTTCTTTCTGCTTGTCAACAAATTTCTGGGTTGGATATTTTTTTATTAGGGTGGAATCCCCCCCCCCCTTTCTGGAAAAAATCCTACTCTTTTAAAGAAAGAGAGGGAAATTGGCTCTTATAGATTCCGGAGGGAAAGGAGGCTATGCGGACAACCCTACTCTACAACATCGGTACTTATACCTTCACACTTCTAAATGTTTTTTTTTTTAATTCAGTCAAAACTTAACTTACTTGCAAACTTTACATAATAAATTCACAGGAATGTGGCTGCTTGAGGAAAACAACTTGTTTTGAAAACATACATGTTCTGAAACATTTTAGAATCAATGATTTAAAATAGGCTACAACGGCTGGTCACTTAAACAACCTTCACCTTTCGTCGGAGGTGCGCCACTTTTAATGCTTCTACTAATAATACACAAAATGTCTGTTTACAAAAACGTTCCATTGATTGTCCAATTAAAAACAAAAAAGAAAAAAAAATTTCTTTAGAGTGACTTCTTTTAACAATTAAACATCATTCATATTTTGTAAATTAAATCTTAGCTAAATCTATATAAATATATATTTATCATGTATGTCAATTTCAAAATTAGTTTTTAAGCAGCTTAAAACCGTGTTATGTAACTATCTAATAAGGGTCTGTCATCTTAATCATAATAATAAGGAAACGGATTAGTATGATTTTGTAAACTTGTTTCCGAATCCTTTTTGATTTTTTGTACTACTTGCCTGTATTTTCTGCTTGTCATTTTCAAATAAATATGGTTTAAGTTAAATCTATATAAAGTAAAAAAAAAAAAAAAAAAGACTCTATAGGGTTACAGACCATGCCCTCAAGTGATTCTAAAGTAAACTTAAATTACATACCATTGTTGAATGATAACTCCAATACATAACATCTGTTTATGATCCCAGGAAAAAAGAAGAAGAAAGATTGTTTCCAAAAAAAAAAAAAACAGATATTAAATTATAATTCCCTCTTTATCCGAATAGCTACAAACATATCTATGTAATTTTTATAAATGGGTTACAACACTAGTTCATTCAAAGAGTGTAATATGTTTATTGGTTATTTACAAGTTATACTTTATATTTTATTACAGGGGCGGTCAATGTGACCAAAAAGCCGTAATAATCTTTTAATCTTATAATGCTGAAAAAAGGAAACTTTCACACATGTAAACAATTGTTTGCATAATCTGGATTAATTTTATTGGAAAACAACGATGGTTTGGAAAGGTTTTGCATTTTTCTTCATTTGAAGCACCTTAAATTACCGAATAAACAAACACAAATCAACAGAATTTCAAATTGTAAGAATTGAATTTCCTTTGCTATGTCCTTAATTAGTCATATTCGTATATAATGAATTTTTTAATATATATATATATATATATATATATATATATATATATATATATATATATATATATATATATATATATATATATATATATATATATATATATAGCGAATTGGCAATATACATGTTCCCTCCCATTATGACTAAAGAGGATATGTCCAGAAAAAGTATTAAATAAAAACAAAACTTGGGTTACTAAAGGTTTCTGATAAATTGAATTTCAAAATTAATTTAAATACTTACGAAAAATAATGTCAGTTCAATTTTTTAAACTTTGAGACTGATCTTGAAAAATTCGTTATAAAAGATGCAATTTTCGTGATTTTTAACCTTTACGGAATAAAATTAGTTTGCTGTATCAGGTAAATTCGTAATATCAGAGTTCGTTATAACCGTAAAATTTTACAAGGAATTGTTAAGAATTTTGCCGGGGATCCCGAAAAACTTAGGCAATGTCCATAATTTCGCTTTATCCTTCTTCATATGAAACGAGTTTTACTGTGTACATTATAGACTAATTATGGGCGTCCCACATGTAAAAGGAAATAATAGAATCAATTTTTTCTTCCAAAATTCCAATATCTTTCCCTTAAATAGGTGACTCTCTCATTAAAGATATAATATCAGTTTAGTTTAACAGCTTTATGTTTGACAAAGCCATACAATTTAGTGAAAAGTTGTTTTCCTTTATCCCGCTATCACTTGCATATAGTGTTTATATCTCCCAACTTACTCGATTCTCAAGATACCCATGCTCCGAATACGATCAATTTTTAAATCGAAGCAGGCTACTGGTAGATAAGTGAATTTTACATGAATTTCAACAAACTCGTTTAATGTCAGCATTTCGTAAATTCTATGGTCGTTATAATAACCTTATTTGCTAAAACGACCTATCATTGGGTCGTATTTTGACTGATAATTTAAGCCATTGTATTTCAAACTACATTTGCCTACGGAATATTTCGTCTATCTGATCAATACGTAGGGCTCACGGCGGTTGTGACCGGAGGACAGGGATGTTCACTCCTCCTAGACACCTGATCCCACCTCTGGAATTTCCCGAGGTCCGTGCTTTTCTGCCCTGTTCACAGATTTATATTGCTTGTTTGTTATCTTCAAAATCAAGTGTAAACACGAACATAACATTCTTATAGCAAAATGAATTGCGGTATATCAGTCGAATTTTAAAACAGGTTTCATATCTAACAGTTCTGCAATGTTTACTAAAGGTAGATCATCCAAGATCTTTCTATAACAAATATTCATGAAATCTTTGCTTTATCCAAATGTTCACGTCTCAAAGTACAGGTATATGTGTCGATATCAATGAAATTTTCCTAACTACATGTATAGAGTCATTTTGTAACATACATCAATACTTTTAAATTACATTGACCAAAAAAAAAATGCACAAAATTACAAGAACCATAAAACTTTAAAAAGAATTTAATAATATACTACATTATTCTTTTTTCTGCCCAAAAGTTGCCATTTAAGAAATAAAAATATAAGAGGTTTTGAAGTTTGAAACTGAGATTATGCATAATAATTTTTAAAAAGATGTTTGTTCGCCTTTTTATCTGAATAAAATGATTCCAATTGATTGTAATGACCTATTGTGATTCTAATGAAATATTATTAATATAAATGTGCTGACAATTGAGTACAATTTGCTCTTTTCACAATGACATCTCAATGATTGCACGAATTCTGTACATCATACACACAGTCCGCGATTATCTGATTCACTCACTCACTTTAGATGTTCTTTGTTATCTGGAACTCTTGTTCTCAAAGAAATACTTTACTCTTTTCCACAAAATAGGATGTGAATAATTTCAGATACACGTCCTTAAGAAATAATTTGTATTTTCTTTTAATTGCTTGAATTACTGTCTTTGCAGGGAGTATGATTTAAAACGTTGCAATTATTTAAAAATTTCAGATACATTATTGCAAGAAAAAAGAGTCTTACCAGAGACAAAATGAGATTTCCTTCAGTTAAAGTGAGCACCAACTCCGTAGAAAATATCAATGGTTGTCTCAATATATTCCATTTAACTTTGTCCATTATGACGTAAGTAAGCCATAACCAATAGCTTCTCGTTCATACTCCTACAAATAGAAGCTCGCGATCTGAAAGGGATGCTATCGATTAATGAGTCTTGTGTTTACCAGCACGTGAAATATACTGCGTAAGCTAATATTAATTTACACAATACAAGTTGTTATAGAGAAAATGAAAAGTGGGGTGTCCATGTAGACCTTATGTTAAGAATTCGATCTGTTGTCATGATGGCACAGTGCCTAATCAAGTGATTGGAGACAATTATTGAAGCACATCCAGGCGCGTATGTAACTTATTTCTATCAGATTCACATCTCCGGACTGAAGGGGGACAATGTCCTGGTGATGGTAGCTTATCTATTACAGGATACATGCATAAATTTTTTGAAATAATAATAAAAAAAAAATTCAGAAATAATCTGTCTTACTTTACTAATCTAGATAAACATGGTCATTTAAGCTGGTCGCTAGCTGGAACTGAATTCACCTGATTAGTTAAAACTACAGTCTCGTGGTACCGTAGGGGATTACCCTTCTCCTTTCTGAGAAGATCCTTTTATTTTATTGTTAATTCATATGGCAATTGCTCCAATCCTCCCCTTTTTTGTTGCAGTTTAATCAAACCCTTCCATGCACGTCATTGTACTGTCGAAAATGATCAGAATAGACCCCTCCCCACTACAAGAGAATTTATGAATTTATCTATTTGATATCTATATTATTTTTAGATGGAGAATAGAATTTTGGATTATTTTTTTTTTTTTCACTTGGAGTGCTAGTTTCTACATTATTTTAATTATTTAGTTTAAGAAGTATTTTATTCACGATATACATAGAAGTATATACAATGAACATGGATTGAATTAAAGATCAAGGTACAAATCCTGAAATGTTACAATGGTATCTATTTCAACTTTTACAAAGACATGTATTTTAAACTAATTTTTAAGGAGGATACAGTGCACAAAATTGAAAAAAGAGGGGAAATGAACAATAAAAAGGAAAAATGAAAGAAAAGAGAAAAAAAATTAATTTTAAAATTGAATTTAATTATGATAAATACAAAAGAAAATATATATT